ATAGTCCCAAATACCTTAGAAAAATGAGATCGATTATTTGTTCGCCACATGAAAAATTGATTGATAGGGTTTTCTTCAAGAAGAAAGAAAGCGGAGAAGTCCAGAGAAAAAATTGTCAAGAATTCATGAATTTACAAGGGTCCATTAATACCTCTTGAATGAGGAGTGGATTGCTCACGATAAGGCAGTCCAATGGAAAGAAGATAGATTGCAGTTGTAAAAAGAAGAAAAACCTAAAATGGCCTAGAACCAGAAAACGGCCCTCCTCTGTTTCCGCATTGATGCGATCACAGGTGCTTCCTTCTTCAACGCTAACGCTTTCTCTGCTGAACGGCTAGAGACTCAGTTACGAGAAGACGATAGAGGGGGTCTACCCGGCTAAGTGCGCACCAATTGGGCCGCGGAGAAGGCTATGCTAGATCCCCTAAGGCATATCCTTTGATGCTTACAGCGTCCCTAACAACAGATTTTCAACGATATTCAGGGCCGAGGAGCGGGCAGAGCTAAGAGTGTTTGCAGTTGGTGGGCACATGTGGCGTGTTCCTTGCGGAATGCAATCTCATTCTACCACTGCTACAAATACGCTCTTCTCATAAAGATAGAGGATAATGCGATCTGATTGAAAGAATACCGAAAATATCATATTTTTCACAAGTCGTTTCGCTAATGGCGCACCCTGGTACTCCTATTAAACAAATATCAAAGACTGCGTTCTGATCACGAGCAGGATACCCCCATTGATCCTGCTGACAAGTAGACCCTCCCTCCTCAGTCGTGATTTCGTGACAGATATCATCCTGGTGTCAGAAAAATATTGAATGGAAGTCTCATCAATGCAATCACAAACTCGTTCCGAAAAAAGTGCGTTCAATCAACTTATTTAACGTTAAAGCTTGATTCCAGTACTGCTTCGGAGTCTCTTAATATTTTTTCTTCGTAACCAGTAAGCTCCTTCCTGTCTTGTCTACACCATTGCTCCATTACTTAGCTCACGTTTTTGAAGAAAGACTGCTAAACTCTAAATAACTTAGAATTAGGGCAGAAACAATCCAATAAATTCATATTATAGTTGTTCACGCTGATAACTGGAACGCATACGATGAGCCTTCGTCAGCTAATTTTTTTGGCCACTTGAGTAATCTAGCTCGAAGTAGGCATGAATCAACGACAATCTTGTCTAGGCTAAAGTATGCAGCTGTTTGCCAACCCCACGTGCACTGGCACGTTCTTTGTGGCTAGCATCTGAATAATATCGTCGTATTGCATATTATTGTTCATCCGTTCCAGACTAAATTGATTAAAGATACACTGGCCTCTTACGAAAGTCGTTGCAGGGTTTGCAGGGTATTTCATAGGCTCATCTAACAGCTACACAGCGACCTGGCGGGTTTTCAAATATATGTGTGGGGACACGATTTTTCCTTTACATTTTCTGAGAGTGCAATCATCCTAAGGCTTGCTGTAGCCCAGGAAACGCCGAATTTGCTACCCACGCTTGCCAAAGTCATCTCTACGGCTTTCGTTTTGAACACAAGGGCTGAAGGAAGGCTAGCATCACCTCGCACTATTGTATATCACTGCTTTTCTGTGGCATATCGCAAACTTGACAGGATTTTTGCAATCAACGGGGGAAAAGGTGTAGACATAATTTATTTCGACCTGTGAAAAGCATTTGATAAGGTGAATCATGTGAAATTTCTTCCTAAGCTTTGGCAGTTAGGAATCGAAAGCCTCATTTTGAGCTGGATTCATGCTGTAAAGACAGATGTTCTTTATATGGAATCCTTCGCGGAAAATTTGGATCTTTCTTTGACATGGAAGTGTCAGTATGTTATTGATACGCGCAAAGTTTCACGCATGAAGATTCGGTTTCCGAAGAGAATTAAACGTCCCAAAAACTACACGTTATGGACATCGAAGGTAATTCGGGCGGAGCCAAACGAGACATGGAAAGAAGTTGGCCTTTAGCCGGCTACGTATCAGGCGACGCAATGACGGAATCCGGGTAAAGTGATCGATTTTGGAGAATAGAGGCAAACAATCGATAGAGTATGATGCAGTAGAAGTGTAAGATGTGAATGCAATAAAGCAGAAGCCAGAAAGAGTTTCTAGTGAAGGCACTCCAAGAACCAAGTGGAAGCATCCCCGTCGCCAGCATTTGTGAAAGACGTCCGTGGGCTTTGAACGCGTAGCAGCCCTTTCGATTTTTCGAATTTTTTACCAAAACGAAAGCAATATTTCTGTTCTTTTCATTCTTATCGTGGATAATGAGTCTCAAGTCAGTGATTCCAAATAAAAAGCATGATTTTTCCGCGAAGGATTCCTTTAAATGTATAGTAAACGATGTGAGACTCCAAATATTTATTGCAAAAGACTGGCGTTCAGCATAGTACGATAAGGGTAACAAGCATGACATATCGTATAACTTCGTATAATGAGTCGCCGTGATTGCTTGAAGGCAAACGCTGAGTTATCCCGTTTTGAGAGGATTAAGCGACGCATTGTAAGGTCCGTACCTATCTATACCTTTAGTTCGTTACAAAACTGCGCGTAGGGAGCTAACTATCATTGACCTATAAGTTCGGATATTTTAATGTCGCATTTCTGAGTTGAAGTGTTTGTGCGATTTCTGTGGAAAATCATTCGTAGAAGTCCTTCTTGCTCATCAAACTGCGTGAATATGTTGTTACTCTTTTTCATTGTTGTTCACATAATTCCCAAAGTGGCTAGTTGAAATCAGTCGAGACGGGGCTGCACCATTCCTTGTGCTGAAATGGTAGGACACTTTGTTAGTGATTGATCGATGATGCACAAACGCTTTAACGAAGTTGATTGCACAAGAAATTCTAATAAATGTGCTCATCTGCTACTCACGTGTGCTCAAAAAGGGTGCGTTTTTGACCCATGTGGCAAAAAAGACTCCGGGAAAAATTGTCCAGTTGAGCTGGTAAGTTTAACTTTTCCACCATACAGTGCAGACTAACTGTATACTTCTTTTGTCCAGGCCTAACTTTTTAGCAAGTGAGAGGGATGATTTGTCAGATGATGTCAAAACCGACCTACCTCTCTTTTTCGACTCAAAAAATTCCTAGCTTTAATCGTACGAGGTTTCCACTCATACTGGTAAATGGGAAAGTGCTAATGAGTCATTCGATGAATATGCTGTTTCACTCCCCGGATTCTGAATTAAAAAACTCGTGGTGAAAAAACGACACTAAGATATCCAGTACCTAATACAACCACCGCCCTTGCTGCAACGGCTCCCATTTATCTCGAAAGGTGTAAGGATCAGCGCGCTCGATCGCCTTGTCTCGACATCTTACCACACCGATCTATTGAGAGTTAAGGCCTTGATTCAGCTTCCCAAATTTCTCTTTCCTTACTTTCCACCAGGTCGTTCCGAAGCTCAGTCATCACTACAAAGTTTTCTTACCACCAGTTTTATCCCAGGGCTTGCCTTTAGCGAGATATGAGTGCCTCCCGAAGCTCCACTTTAATCAGACATAAATGCCCCCCTCGAACTACATTTTCATCCGCATCACATGGTTATTACTACGATGCCCTAGACTGAGCAGAATCATCGAGTCCGAGTTTTTGACTCGCTATTTTCCCCGTAGAGAAGGATAGCTCCAAATATTATCGGCAGTCTTGCAAATAGCACGAAACATCTGCGCGTTCAAAGAAGCATTAAAAAAGCGTTGACTCACTCTCCTCATTAGGCATTACGATATCTAACAGGTAATGTCTCGTGCACTTGTTTACAAAATGTTGCTTACTGAGTTTTGTTTTGACCGAATGTTTCCAAGTTATAACTGACTTGGTGGCTGAAGAATTATTGTAGCTCACCTACAAGTGTATAAAATGAACAAAGGAATAAGCGAAGGTTTCTGTTGGTTTTCGTGGATCCTTCTATCAATCTACAACATACTCACCGGTAGCGTAGACTGGCTGCAGTGTTGTACGAGCGGCAACAGTCTGGCTCGAACGATTCTGGAGTTCTGACAGCAAAAGAACCTCCTTGAGATTTAACTCTCCAGAATTGGTGGTGGAATTCGAGCAGGTTTAGCTCTGCGAACCGACAGCCGCTAACACAAGGCTCAGTGATCAAGAGGGTCAGCCGTCGATAGCATGATGTTGGCGACGCTCCTAAATTGAATGGGCTTCATAATGAAAATATTCCTCTTGAAAAGACAATGTCTCTGAACATCTCAAGGTACCCTTTTCACTTTTAAATTTGGTTTTTCTCTTTGGATGTACTTAGGAAGTGACATTTAGGCTAGCGGTCATTTAAACTGCGCCACACTAAGCCACGAGGTACTTCTCCATTATTTTTTTAGCAATATCTATCCAATATCCAATATAGTCTAAGTGAACCGATGCGATGTGCTGTTTTGCAGTGCTCAGTTTCCAGAATTTCGCGCCATTGTTTTAACGATTCTTGGCTTATGAATTTCAAGAATTATAGCAAATATTGATGAGAGTTTCGATTTTCTGCAGCTAAATGATGGTGGCTCGCGGTGATGATGGCGAAGCCAATGGGAAAAGAGGCAATTATTATCAACAAAACCAGTTAAAGAAGACCAATCAGATAAATATCCGACACTCAACTGGGCACTTACTGCAGTAAAAGGATAGGAATTGATTGCATTTGCAAGGTTGCGCACACAATTTCGGTGCACTTTGTAGTTTAATGCCATAAAATGTGAACGAGAGAAAATTCGTGTGCTTAATTAATTAGTTCTTAACTTTCATCACCAAATTTCATTCTACACGTACATATTTTATCGACATCCCAGTCGTATGTTTGAGCAGCAGATGGACTGGAATTTTTTACAGTGTCATCGTCAGAGTCCGAGCTGAAGAGATGCATGCTATGTAAACCCGAACGTTTGGCAGTACCATATAAATACGATGAGACCAACGCAACTACATCGGCCTGCTCGGGCTTCCTTCCAATTGTGAAACTGTTATCATCATTGACAACCTTTCAATTCCTTACAATGAAGGCTCCCGCACTCGCTTTACTTTTGATCGCATGCGTGAGAGCTAATTCACCTAATGTGATGCCGGAGTTGAAAAATGATACAGTAGAAGTGCTGAAGGTAAGTAATTCCCAGAAAGAAAATGATCCGTTAACAAGGAATATTTCAGCTTGTTAAAAGAGGAGCTGCTGAAGATATGAAACCAGAGGAAGATTCGATTGAAGAAGTCAACATAAAAAGCGGAGTTGCTAGCGTCCTGTTTCAGGGAGATATTGTCCTAACAAAGTTTGCCTAATGTTTTAACTTCGCCGCAAAATGTTGCAAGTGCTTCATCTTAAGGGAACAACAACAAATTGTTGCCAGTGCAAGACAAGCTCGAGCCAAAAGGCAAGCCTACAACGATAAAGGAAGTTGGCCTGCAAGAAAGTGGACAAAGGGGCTTGCTTTCATGTTAGCACACTATTTAGGTCAGTACTCAGGGCACCAAGGTTCTCTTGTTGCTCATATAATTAGTTTGTAGATCTCTTGCAAATGTTCGTGAAAGACACAGGTATAGCAAAAAGTAAAAATTATTTTCTTTGTTTACAGACGAGTCGACGAAGACTGCCTTCAGGAAAGCAGCGAAATTGTGGGAGGAGGATACGTGCATTAACATTACAGAATACCGATGGCCAGACCCGAATGGTGTCATACCACGTGAGGGCTCTTCCATTACACCTGACCAATATGTGCCATTTATTAGAGTTTCTAGGCCATCCAACTGCGAGAACTGATTCTTGGCTTCTAATTGCCTTTCGTAGCTTTTATTTTTTTCTTATTGCTTCCTGCTATCCAGATCCATGTCCAATTTTTAGCTTATTTTTCACCATCATATCAGACATGTGAGTGCTCGTAGTGAAACAATTAGCGAACCACATTTTATGAAGCGACACGCAGTTTAAGTTCAAAATCAAAGTGGCATCCGTATGCCATTTGTTATAGTATGCAGTATAAGTGGAATAGATCGTGCGATAAACCTCTCAGTGTTTTTATTTATTTTCCAGGCACGTCTGCCACTCGCCACATGACCTACTTCAGAATGAAAGAATCTCGAACGGTATTCGCGGGATTCGACGGAGTATCAGATCCCATACTCTCAATCTAAAGCACTTCTCCACAACCATCAGATAGCGATTAGCTGACCGTGCAGTCACCTTCGTTTTACAGCACTCAGGTTGCTGTCACGCAAGCAAAGCATAAAAGGCCGAAAACTCAGATAGGAGCGCTAATCAAAGCTGCTTGCACGACTCGCTTGCTTTCAACTGTGATTCTTTCATTTTCTCTCCCTTAGTAATGGCACCTCTCTCATCACGAGCTCCTGTTTGAGACACGCTTGACTGGAGGTTCGCAGCGTTGCTGCATTCACTGGAGTAATACAAAATTTGAGGCGGCAGCAGGCTTCTGATGTATCTTTTTGTTCCAGCCAAAGACATTCTCATGGTAGAAGGTGGGAATGATGGATGTGAATCGTATGTCGGTAGAATGATCAAAGAAGGCCCGCAGCCCCTTAAGCTCGGCGTGGGCTGTGGAACGGTATGTGTTCATTGAAGACTATGTTTCATGACATGCCCTAAATAAAATGATCAACGAATTAGAAAAACATCGTAGTTTCTCATTATTTCACATATATAGTGGATGCGTTTCTGGTTTTGCTTCAGATCGGACACGCTGCTCATGAAATTGGGCATGCACTTGGCTTGTTTCACACGCATGCAAGATATGACCGTGACGAATTCATCAAAGTTCATCAAGCAAATATCCAGGTAGAACAGTCGGTCGCTAGTGAGGCAATATACGAATCATCTTAGGCTGCTTCAGTCTGACTGGCATAAACAGTTCGAACTACTAACAATTGATACCAATAACAACTATAATTTGACGTATGACTACGGCAGCATAATGCATTACGCAGCCAAAAGGTAGGCTACTCATGTAGAAAAGACTGTAGATCTAAAGAAAAGAAAGCGATCTTTCAAGCATCGTAGCGATCGACGAAAAAAAACCTGTAATGGAAGCTATTGATGGGAACTACACGGAAACCCTGGGATCTGATATCATTGCGTTCTACGACCTCCTCATGATGAACATGCTCTACAACTGTACCGGTAGGCGAAACGCAACCTCATAATTGGCTTCAATACGATAGCATTTCAGACGCATGCAAAGGTAAGCCCACAAAATGTCTTAATGATGGATTTCCTCATCCGCGTGATTGCTCCAAATGCATATGCCCAAGTGGATATGGTGGACCGCTCTGCGAAAAAAGGGTGACTGTTATTTTAAATTAGACTGAAATTCCATCACGGAATTATTTCAGCCCGAAGGTTGTGGTGACGAGCTGGATGCAAAAGAACAATGGCAAGATCTCGAATATAAGCTAGACGGCACCGATGCCGGTGAAGAGCGAGATGGTTTTAGGAGATGTAACTATTGGATTAAGGTCCGCTAGTTTAGGAAAACCAAGAATAGTGAGCTTAAGGAATAATTTAGGCGCCAAGCGATAAAAAAATAGAGGTGGAACTTGTGGCACTCCCTGACATTTACACCGACAATGGATGCAAATATTCTGGCCTTGAAATCAAAGCACATTCCGACAAACGTCTCACTGGTTATAGGTATAATGAATAATTTCATCAATACAAAAGTTACGAATTTCACAAATGAGTGATCTACTTAAAATCTCGTTCAGGTTTTGCTCAAAGGAGGATGTCAAGAAAATACTCGTATCGAATTCAAGCCCTGTTCCTGTGATAACGTATAGCCGTGCGAACGTTACTGTCTCCACAAAGCTTAGATATCGCTACGTCTAGAAGAGAACAGAAAGCCTTCTATCGAACAGAACCTTTTGATTTTCTTTCCTGATCTTGATTCTTGTGAGCACCTTTCAAACAACAATAAAAAGTTAATATTGAAGGCTGCAGCAAAAGTCTTGGTTACCCTGACTAGCCATGTAATGCTCTGAAAATAATTTACACAAAATCAACTTTCTTAAGTGCAGCCTTTCCATCAGCAATATCTAACCGCAAGAGGGTTATTATCGTTTTTGAACCTTTTCAGCTTTGCAGTACCTCTTGAGAATTATTACGTAAACTCACAGAAGTTGAAAGGATCATGTCCAAGTTTGCTTATGCATAGTATCGCCAATCCCACTGAGTTCCACGGTAACCTGCACTCGCGGCGGAATCCACTGCGACATCGTCTTTAGTGGGTGAAGATGTATAGGGGGAGGGGGGAGTAATCAAGAACTTGTGAGGAAAATGAAATGAAAGTTATTTCATTTGAGTACGGATTATTTTATGTTAATACTGAACTATGCTTTCCTTAAACACTGCCTTACCCTCGACTTGTCCGTCGAATTCCTCTTAAAATGTAAATCACACGGTATTACCCCCATGTTCATCCGATATATGATGGCACGATTTCGTCGTTTCCACCAGAACTCTGTTCGAAATGCAGTAAGGACATCTTGAAAGATGTCTCCTAGATGCTGCTATAGCAGAGCAAGCGACATACAAGAAGTCACTGTATTCGGAAGCTCGGACGTATGAAGACAAGAATAAGGCAACGAGAGAACATGAAGTGCTGGCGGCGACTAATCAGCTACCACAGAAAAACTTGCGACCGGCATCAATACAACAGAGGCTAATTTAAAAGAATCATTTGAATTTTCCATTCAACAGCACCTTCCTTCTTGATTAATTCCTCCTTTTTCGACGTACTATCATTGGTAATAATCTTCAGCTTCTCTCTTCTTCTTGTAACCTCGGCATCCTTGTTCTTATTTGTGTTAGTTGTTTGTGCCGTACGAGGTTTATAGGTGGAACATTTATTAGTTCGGCCCGTTTCTACAAAATCGTCGTCTTCTGATGCCTAAATGCGGCTTAAGTTTGAGACTTACGTTCTAATTCTTTCTAGTTCTTACCCAGTAACAAATAATGCACACAATATTGTCTCCTGATTTGAGGGTCAATTGGGAGACGCACGCTTCCTTCTATAGCTCGCGGTGCGGTATGCTACACAATTCGTCCAGGGACCATCACCACACTAACGACCTAGATCGCGATGATAGTTTTCGACGCAAGTCACTGTTATCGGCGACGCTCATCTTTCTGCAAATGCTTTGAGTTTGTTAAATCTTGGTCCGTCTTTTTCGCCTTCGCAGAACATCAACGCCCAAACTTTCCGGAAAGTGGTTGGAGGACTTCAAAGGCTTAGAGACTTACTGCGCCTCGAAGGACGAATTCACGATTAGAATGAAGGTCGAAGAAGGAGTAATTCACCTAGTTGAGGGACCCGCGGACCTCCTAAGGGTGCGGACTGAAGCGCAATTGGCACCGAAGGAGTTGACCTCGGCGACCTATTAAGGCTCAATCTTGGCGCGGTGGGCCAGTGCACGCCCACCGATCAGCTGATCACTCGCCGCAGGTCTATACGTGGCGAGTGATTAGATAGGTGAGAGAGCGTAGTGTTGAAGAGGGCACAGCGATGAGAGTCGCATCAATGCTCAAATCAACGGGCAAGGAAGGGGTCCCATTTCTCGGGTTCTGGGCCGTTTCTCATGGTTCTTCCTTCTTTCGTGTACCACTCACCATCCCTAGGTTAATTTGAAATGGGTTGCTTTTTCATCGTGAATTCGTCCTTTAATGATAGGCGTCGTGAGGAGCCGCAATCCGCATATCTTTATCGGAAATCTTCCTTATGGTCACCGTTTCCGCGAACATTCTCATCGAGAAGCCTGAGCCATCCCGAGAATGTCGATGCTAAGTTCAGAATTTTGTCTGCTAACATTCTTGCCGTTCTGATTCACTATAGAAGGAAGTTGTGAGCAATCAAAGTTGGCTGGAAGTAAAGCGTTACGTATAAATGGTGCTAGCCTCCAGGCTTTCAAAGTCGCCGTGGAGTAGTGGTAGTGCTCTCGAAATTTGCACTCCAACGGGAGGAGAGCTTATGACCTCCAGGGTGAAGAGCGAGGGCACCACCACTGCGACTTTGAAAGCCCAGCACGGTTCATATGCAATGCTTTACTTCAGCCAACTTTGACTGCTCACAACTTCCTTGGCAGGTTCATTTTGCAGTTTTAGTTTCCATATTTGTAATCAGCGTTTGAAGCTCTATCGATATATCTGGGTCTAGCTACGGAACGGTCGGAGTGTGGAACCATCTTCAAATAAAAAGTCAACGTTGTGTAGAGTGATCCACACCGAATATGTAGAGGGAGCGTGCCCTCGCCTACCTTCTGGTCGATCCCTATGTTTTGTGTTTAAGAGACCCTGATAACAGTAATGAAGGAAGCAGCTCAGAGATAGGACACCCATCAAAAGCAGTGTGTAAACTTGCTGACTAACGTGGGTGCTATTTCACAAAACATGTTTCACACTTTCAACATTTTTTTGTTCACTTTTAACATTTTTTTGTTAGGAATTTTCGCAGCAATAAATGTAAAGTGATTTCCCATTTATGGAACAACCGCATAACACCGCATTTCATCCGCAATTTGGGAGTCATTTTTATTTTTCATTTTTTTTTTATTTTTTGTTAAATGCAAGCTCCGGGATAAGTCCCACTAATATGAAGAAATAAAGATCGTATAACTTCGTCGAATGCGTGCTCTACTCAGTTATTTTGCCTTCTTAGATGTTTCGGCGTGCTTCCAAATCGGACTTTGCTAAAGGACAAAACCTTAGTTTTAGCTTCTCAGTTGTTGGCTGTTACTTTCTATTCCACTTTCAGTTCGTTCCGCAACTCGGACATCGCTACGAAGCACTCTTATACGGCAGTGTTATCAAGGGGCTTGCCTTTGAGTCAACATCAATGCAAAGAATTAATTAATTTGTTCACAAATTTTCACAATTGTCCACGGTCCATAAGAGTTTGATGCCTCGCTTCAATAACTTTTTTGACAGGTCAAACTTTGACAGGTTTCGAGTCGTGAGTGTTGAAGAAACTTTCCATGTGTTCGCGATTCTTATCTTTCCCAGGTACATGCTTGCAGGCGATCAAGTGCACAGCTGCAAGGCAACTCACTCCATTCTCGAGGATTATTTAGTTGTATTCATTCTGTCCGCTTTGATAGGCCTTTTTAGAACTCTTTCACCAACAAGAGACGCAGTAACAATATTTCTGGAATATCGGTGACGTCTAGGTTTTTGGGCTATTTCGAGATTAAAGCAACAATCCAGGAACGAATTTGCGGGCTAAAAGCACCTATATTGAAGGTATAATAAGTCTCTTATTTGATAATACCTGTAGTTCTCCCATTGACAGGTTTTTCCATCCAGTATCAAACACGTGCGCGACCCGCATGTATTAGCTATGAATGTTCTACATGCATTTTTTGGAACAAATGTTCAAAATTTCTCTAATATTTCGAATAATAAAAGTATGTTCAAGGTTAGAAAACATATCCGTAAAGCCAGCCATATCCGTCTCCTACTATACATAATCGGTCCGTGTGTGTGTGTGTAGGTCTGTGTGTGTGTGTGTGTGTGTTTGTCACGAAATTCGTAGCTCGGGTCACAGCAACGATAGCGCCATGGTTCTTACATATG